TATATATAACAAATTTTTATTGTAGTTGACACGGCCCGCGTCGTTTCATTATACACAATGCCCCACGACTCGTGCCACCTTTATCAGCCGTCGCCCTATTATGAGTATTTGACTGACCAACACCTCGCGTTATACGCCGCGGTACANAACTCGCGTTATACGCCGCTGTGCAAAGTCCAGCAAGCACCGCACGCCCGACGACATTCCGCCGCAAATGATACCGTAGTCTTCTTCCCGTTGTCAAAGTGACAACGTCTACGATTCGATCCGCACTCGCGCACCGTCGCTATCAACGCTGCTAACCTGTTGACGTCCGAGGAACACGCCGGACAACGCGTCGTCGATGCCAGCGAAAGTGTCGCGATATTATGCGAAGATTATTTTATTATTATGTTCATCTATTTGGTTTGTTTTATTTTTCGTTGAAATAACCTGTTGTTGCTCATTAATAAACAGCCCACGGGTCTCTATCTTCAAAACCAGTGACGACCACATTTTTATGACGTAAGTAGTGTCAACTGTTTCCCCAGTAAGGATCTTAACCGGTCTTACATTGGATCAAGGTAAGAAGACCATTTTCTGACTTGATTTTAACACGCTTATGTTTTATTAACACGTTTATATTAGTTTTTTTTTTAAATTTTTTTTTCAAATAATCAGCTAGGTTTCCTTCACATTCCCTCTTCTTCGAGTTACTTCAATTACACAATTCGACAGCAGTGAATTCCCCACACGGTTATAATAAATTGTCAATAGCGCAACAATTGTAGATTTCCACTTCGTTAATTATTTTTTTTTTAATATATAACAAGTAGATTAAGCAGTTGTTTGCCTATAAATCTTTATCGCGCGCAAGGCGCCGCCGCTGATACACATTAAAATTGCAACAATAGACAGCCATAGACAAGTAGTATATAATACACTCTATATCAACGCGTTCGATATAGTAATTAACAACCGGGTCCCATAAAACCGTTTGTATTATTAATTACGTTGTAACGGGTAACGGGGAATCAGGGTTCGATTCCGGTGAGGGAGTCTGAGAAACGGCTACCACACAATGGAAAGCTGTAGGCACGCAAATTATCCACTCCCGGCACGTGGAGGTAGTGACGAAAAATGATGATACGGGACAAATCCTAGGCCCATAAAAAACAGCTATACCTCGTGTATGATACATTTCCGTACATAAGTTTCATTATTATATATATATATACTTAAATATTAATATTCATTTATCTATTTCTATCCACGATGCCGACGTATATGCCACACATATAGCGTTTCCCCCGCGCTCCGCCAACCCACAAAAAACAGCTATACCTCGTGTATGATACATTTTCTTATTTAAGTTTCATTATTATATATTTATATATATACTTAAATATTAATATTCATTTATCTATTTCTATCCACGATGCCGCCGTATATGTCACACATATAGCGTTTCCCCCGCGCTCCGCCAACCCACAAAAAACAGCTATACCTCGTGTATGATACATTTTCTTATTTAAGTTTCATTATTATATATTTATATATATACTTAAATATTAATATTCATTTATCTATTTCTATCCACGATGCCGCCGTATATGTCACACATATAGCGTTTCCCCCGCGCTCCGCCCGCCCTTAAAAACCGCTATACCTCGTGTATAATACATTTTCTTATTTAAGTCACATTACTGTACATATATATATATATATATAAATAATATATATACATATTAGTTAATATTCATTTATCTATTTATATCGACGATGCCGCCGTATATGCTACACATATAGCGTTTCCCCCGCGCACCACCCACCAACAAAATACAGCTATACCTCGTGTATGATACATTTTCTTACTTAAGTCGATTTTCTATATATGTTTGTATATATATATATAGACACTAAGCACTATTAAAATTTATATATTAACACGCTTTATTCTCATTAAGAGATATAAAGTGTATTCATTCCGATTACGGGGCCTCGTATGACTCATTACCTTCACGTTTCGGGAGTGGATAATTTGCGTGCCTGCTTCCTTGCTTGGATGTGGTAGCCGTTTCTCAGACTCCCTTTCTGCGCAAAAGAAACTAGTAAGGCATCATGACTCAGCTCCAGTCAAGGGTTAGGCAACGGCGGTCTAGTTTTACGGTCATTGCAAACGGAAAGAATGATGCATATTAAGACTTAGTAGCTTGTGTTTGTAACCAGGGCACCTCCACGTGGTGACGGTGGGCAACAGAAGTATCTAGCAAAGTTCCTGGGTTAACGACGTGTATGCCGTCATGGCAAGTACAAGTGATGAGTACTTTACGATGCAGGGATTCGGAGTCCCAGTATCGGCGTCTGGTCAGGGTGAGAAAGCAGGCTCGCAGGCGTCGTTATCATGCGACTGCAGCTCTTCAGTAGTGGCCAACTTGGCTACTGGAGAGTATTATGTTACAGGAAGTAAGTTGTCTGATAAGACAACAAGAACGTTAAAGAAAAGTAGTCAAAAGTCAGTTAAAAGTCAGTTAAAAGAACTGCGGAACTCACAAGCGACGAATTAGAGAAAAGAAAAGAGAAAAAAAGGCTTTATATGAAAAATTATAGAGCCATGGAATCAAAGGAGGCCAAAGAAGCTCGTTTACAGCAAGTTCGTCAGCATGTGGCTGAAATCCGAGCCTCGGAATCGGAGCAGGCCAAAGAAGCTCGTTTGCAGCAAGTGCAGCAACGAAATGCTGAGTCCAGAAGATTAAGTAGAGCCAATATGACAGGCTTCAGGCAGACAATTAACACATTTTGTAATAAGATATGTGAAATTTGCACTAAACGGTGCTATCAACATCAAATATCTAAGTGGATTGTAGATACTAAAATAGCACTATATTTGCCTGACGAATTAAAACAAAAGCATTGTTGCACCATCTAAGTCTTACTGGAATAATCTAGATCCAGGCTTTATTCCAGAAGTGATTGCGGAGTTATCACAAGCCGAGCAGAGGTTGATTTCACGCATTATACCATTTGTTAAAATTATAAAACTTAGTGGTGTATTTGGGCAATATAGTTTTCGGGGTCAAGCAGTATTGTTCGCTCAGGATGTTTTTGAAGTTACTGAAAATCTTTCAATGATGTTACTAAGATCCACAAATAATGCTGGAATAGTTATCATTACTGAGCGTCTTGAAAATATTAACGTTACACGATAGTTTTCAGTATCTAGTCAAAAAGTATATGATGCACTCCATTGGTTAGTTGCTAACAATCCACTTTATAAAGACGTCAATATCGATCAAAACGTCGTAATGAATGATGAGGATATCATAAGAGTAGAAGAAGCACCACTAGAAGTTTCTGAGGAGACTAGTGAAGAACCTACCGAGGGAACTAGTGCTTACATGAGCATCAGCGATGATGCGAGAATTGTACGTGCTTCATGACATCAAGGAAACGATTCCATATTCACATCCGGATATGCAGTCGTACAAAGTTGTGCGATGGCATTGTCCAACATCCTAAGAGCTAGTATTCATACACCACAACACTGGTCGACAAACACCCTCAATCTGAATATGATAACAGGGGACCAAATCTACAGCGAAATAAGATTTCAAACGGAGAGAAGTCTATCGGCATATCCTATTGAAGATGATGGATACCTACTGGTGCGAAATTTCAATGCGGTCAAAGATGATTTGATCGCATTTGGCAAAAGATTTAAGATCACCTTTGATGATGAACCAAGCATATATGGTAGCTTGAATGATAAGTATAATGTAGCAAACCTTGGACGTACCCTTCATCAAGATTTGGAAGATCTGTTCATGGTATATAGCGCCGGCATATTGATAACAGGTGGACAATCATTCGGAGTGATGCACTACAATGGCAAATATTACTTCAGCAATTCACATTCTTGTGGTTTAAAGGGATCCAGAGCGAACGACAGCAACGGAAAAGCTTGCATCATCGAATGTGATAATTTAGGAGAGTTTGTGAGGATCTGCAAACGTGCAACAGGTAGCTTAAATGTACAGTATACTCTTGAT